TACATCAGGGCTGAAGGGATTGTGTTGTGATGAGCAGAAATCCCTCAGATTTCTTTAGCATCCTGAAGGATCAGTGGCCTTATCAAAAATTTGGGGCCTGAAAAGTCTGACCCAGTGAAAAAGCCATTGCTTTCACAGCACAGGCTTCGAAACAACTGGTCAGGGTCAGTGACAGCTGAGATTTAACTACTGGGTCTCTTTCACAGGGCTAAAAGGAGGAGGAGGTGGGAGACTGTAGAGAAAAGCTAGTAGGTCTTAAAATGATTGGTGATGTGTAAGATCCCACCTGCTCTATATAGAGTAAATGAAATACTTCGCAGTTACCAGATGTTTTCTGTAGCTCTGAGCCCGTCAGCCCCATAGCCTTTTGACGGTTTATCGTGTGAGCATCTTGTTGGAATATGAGATAGTGAATGTGCTGGAGTGTACCCTGCATAGTGAGCAGTTTTACAGCATCTATTTGCCTACCCTCTTCCCTGTCAGCGTACTCAAAGTGCCCTGAGTAATGTTGAAAATGGAAATCCTTACTCGACCCTATTTGCCATAGGGAAGAATGTACTAGGCATTGCTTTTTCCCTGGGGAGAGGTCAAGCTACTTCTGAAAAATTTCAGGAAAATGAGTTCAAACCAACTAAACCAATAAGTTAGTCCCCAGGAGAAGATGCAGAAAATGCAAACTGGCTTTCCAACTTACATGCCTGTTTGGAGCATAGATTTTAGGCTGTAGGCTTAAAAACAGTGGTCCTCCAGCTTTTTTCTTCTGTTTGCATGCTCTTCTTCCCCTCATCCCTACCTGCATGTGTGTCCTGCATCCCCCTGCAGTTTGAGACCTGTGCTCCCAAAGAATGTGTTGAATGTAGCAAAAAGGAACTGAGGAACTGCATACGGGGGAATGTCCTGAATAGGAAATGCATGATAGTATTTGCAGATGGGGAGGTGAAGTTTTTGAGATCTCTATCAAAGACATAAATTAGGGACAGAGGCAACACATACACATACAGTTATTTGCTCTAGGGAGGTGAAAGGACTAGTGTAGCATTCTAGGTGTGATATGCAGTGCTCAGCAATACCAGCTCCAGGCCGTTCTCTCTCCGCTCCCAATTTATTCTTGTCTTGCAAGAGACCTTTAAAAGCTAAATTGGTTCCCGTACAGTAACATGGCACAGCTGAGGAAGGGTAGGAAGAAGTAATGTGAACAGGGCACATGTATCTAACACTGAAAACTCAGCATCCTGAAGCAACATTTGCCTTCCCTCTCTGTCCCCTGGCATATGTTTCTGTGAGAGAAAAACTGAATACTTGCTGTGCCTTAAATATACCCAGCCAGGTGACTTCCACCCCTTCCTTTGGGAGGCTGTTCCATTAGCCAAGAAAACCCATTATATGGAACTTTTTCCTATTGTTTGGCCTAAGATATCCTGCTTACTGTGCTAGAAAATTTTTGGCCTTGCTGGTGACATGAGGATGGTTTTTTTAACATTTGCTCAGCCAGATCTATATATAACATGACCCTTACTACCATCTATTGGTTCCCATGGCCTGCTTGTACTGCTTTTCTGTTTGCCTCGTGTTTTTTCCAAAGGATCCTTGTATGTGCTTGTTTTATTTTAGGTTCCCTTTACAGCTGATGGACAGTTGTCAGCCTGAGCTTTGAACTGCCCTCTAAGAGATAGCTGGTGTACCTTGTCTGTATGGGAAACTTGGGCTCCTCACGTGTGCACCCAAGCGTGCCTGCTCTCAGGAGTTAATGTGGATATTTTTCCTTCCCTGTGGCAGTGATTTAAGGGAGTGGGTCATTTTACTTTGTGTTCCTCTTGGTTTTGTAGAAAAGGAATCTCCTCCAACAATTGGAGTACCCACGCTGTCCATAGTAGCCTCCACAGCGAGCTCTGTCGCCCTGATTCTACTCTTAGTTGTGCTGTTTGTTTTGCTGCAGCCAAAGTTGAAGTCGTTCCATCATAGCAGGTAAGTGTAGCTGGGGTTTGGAGGGGCTCAGAGGCATCCTGTTTCTTTGCAGCAGAAACCTGTTAAGGTACCTGGTTTAGGCCTTCATTTTGGAGCAACTTACCTCCTCGCTTCTCTGCTCCTGTTTTAATTGCCTCAGTGGCACTTCTGCTCCAAAGTCCAGCAGTAGTCTGAAATGGTGGTCTGCGATACCCAGCTGCAGTCCCCATTCTAACATGCCATCTGATGAGTGGTTTCCTTGGTCTTTTTCCTTGGCTTTGAATGTGAAAAGTTATGATCCCTACTAGCCTGGCTGTAGATCAATCTCCTGCCTCTTCTAGCCTTGGATAGGTACCAAAGTATGTGTCTGAGTATGTATATGCATCTCCCCTAGTCTGTTTGTGAGATCCTATGGACACGAATTCAGGCGGTACTGCTGGTCAGATACACATGCAAAGCTGCCATTGTTCCCTGCTGTGGAGGTGGCCTGGGTTTGTGGATGAGAGGTGGGACCCAGCCATACCACCGCTGCCAGCTGAGGCCAACAAAGTCACTGTGGGCTCTCTCTTCCCAGCCAGCTACTAGTACTCCTTAAATAAGAGCAGAGACATGGCTGTACTGCAGCCGGGAGGTTGAGAGGTAGGGCCCTGGAGTCTGCCCTTTCCTGAAGAAGTCCAAACCACTGGAAAAGAAAACTTGACTCTTAGGACTCTGACTCATGAGCCTAGGGGGTTCACACTGTGCCAATTTAAGAGCTGTCTGCCCCACCCTGCTAGAGGTTATCTCACCAAGCAGCGCTGGGCGTTGCAGAATATAGCAGTGTAACAAGCTCAAATCAGCAGTGGTCAGAGCTCTTTTTTTATCTGCTAGCTGTGATAACAGAGGGCCCCAAGTTATGATCTTTGTCAGATTCAGCTGACAGGCAGGTGAGGTGGGAAGCGTTGTAACCTTTTCAGCTCTTGCTGCTAAATCTGTCGGGCACTATGAATTACAGCCCCTGCTCATGTTTATGGCAATTCATAGTAGGGCTGCAAGGCTGTGCTTGCTTCACCTTGTTAAACCACCATTCATGTTTCTGTCCATCCTTCCCTAAATAAGTCCATGGTGAGCATTAGAGTTTTGCTGTGGGAGGTTACTGGAGTTCTCTGTAACATATATAT